CTCCCACATGTATATGTAGCACACTGTATACATTGTTCTGTACTTTGTTTATTTACCGATACAGAGTGATGATGCCTTTAAAGCATAAATCTGATCATCTCACACCTGAACTTAAAATCATTTTTTGGCTTGCCATTACTCTTTGCTAAATCCCCAGTTCCTTAATATGATAGCCTATGGGTCACAGAGAGTCTCCAGAAACATTTTCTATGGCCCATATAGTATTTTACAATATTAGATTCCAAACATCTCTAGACTGGCCATACCCTGTTCAGAATGTTACCACCCCCACCATCCTCTGTTGTGTTAACCTGTCTACCATCACCCCGTCAGATATTTCTGTGGCCTGTCCAGCTCCCACAGGCATTGACAATTGTGCTGCCTTCCTCTCCAGCCTTGGCTGCAGCCCATCTCCTCTTCTCTCTCTGTCCACATTGCCTTTTTTTCCATTCCTTTAGTGCCCTGAGCTCCTTCCTACCTCAGCATGGTACAAGACTCTATGGCAAAGCTGCCAATATTCCATCTTTTTGCATTGCCTTTTCCTCCCTTTGCACTTGTATGATGCCCGTATACCCCCTCAGGACTCAGATTCTCTCATACTCCACGTTTAGCCATCCCTGATTTATCATTTCCTGACATCCTTTCTTTTCTCTAACAGCACTTACCACACTTGTCGTAACTGTACTTTGACAATTCCAAAATTTATGTATTTTTTTTCTTAACATTTTAATCTTTCTGAAACTGGCAGGTGTTTTGCAGTTAATGGTGACTTACAATTATAATGGTGAAATTAATGGAATGTTACATTTGGTGAAACTGAGTGAATATTTATCTGTAAAGACATCAGCTTAATATCTGTCTTTCCCACTAGAGTTTATGTGCCAGAGGGCAGTGACTATGGCTTTCCTGATCCCCCTATATCCATGGTGCCTAGCACAGGGTCAGGCGTGTAATAGATGCTCAGCAACTATTTGTGGACTGAATGAATGAACGAGGAAGGGGTAAACTGAACTTTGTTTTATAGATCCTGAATTTGCCTCTCTCAATATTTTAACTGTCCAGATTTCATGAGTTCATGTTCTTCCTTGACGGTATCCTTTAAGGCTTTGGGAGTTTGCCCTCTTCCTCTTAATCTTTGCGTTTCCAGACTGAAGAGATTGACTAGCTCAATATTGCTTCATGCAGAAACCACTTCATCTTTTTGGTCATTTTAATAAGCCATCTCTGCACCTTTTGCAGTTGTCTATGTTTTCTTTCTTATGTTGGGATGAAATTTCCTGTCCTTTTTCTGAAAATTTCCTGTGTTTAGTTTATACCTTTAATGGCCATAGTCAGTGAGGCTGATATTTAAGAAGAATAATCTTGTCTTCTAAAAAGTGCTGCTTTAAATTTTTTTTAGGAGACAGGATCTTGCTCTGTCACCCAGGCTGGAGTGCAGTGGCATGATCATATATAATAGAGCATTGTAAACTATCGTCACCCTACTGATCTATCAAACACTATATCTTATTTCTTCTACCAAACTATACATTTCTACCCATTAATCAATCTCTCTTCATCCCTACTCCCCTGTCACCCACACATTCTTTTGTTTTAATATAAAGGTTATGTGACCTTAACAATTTTTTAGAATTAATCAATTAGGTTACTTTTTTTTTTTGAGATTGAGTTTCACTCTTGTTGCCCAGGCTGGATTGCAATGGCGTGGTCTTGGCTCACTGCAACCTCTGCCTCCCAGGTTCAAGTGATTCTCCCACCTCAGCCTCCCAAGTAGCTGGGGTTACAGGCACGCGCCACCATACCTGACTAATTTTGTATTTAGTAGAGACAAGGTTTCTCCATGTTGGTCAGGCTGGTCTTGAACTCCCAACCTCAGGTGATCCGCCCACCTCGGCCTCCCAAAGTGCTGGGATTACAGGCGTGAGCCACCACACCCGGCTCAATTAGGTTACTTTCTAGGAGTGTAAGTCAGAGCTCAGAATCTATCATCTACACTTAGAGTATTATTTGTATTATTTCCCCCAAAGGCATTTTATTCCTTTTCCTACAGTGAGGTGGCTGGCCAGTGTTTCCCGCTCTCTTGCATGTTGATGACATCTTCATTCTATGGTTTTCTCGCCATGCATTACTTTCTGTTAGTCTGAAATTGCCTGGCTTGTAAAAACTTAGTGTTGCCTAAAACCTTGTGGGCTTCCCTGTGCTTTGCCTCTTCTGGATTAGTAATGAAAAGGCCAAACAAGATGGTTCTACCCCAATCTCTGACAATGCTGCTGTTTTTATATTTTATTTTTAAAAATGCCAGAACATGGCAAAACATTCCTTCTTGTCTTTCAGTGCCTACTTAAAAAGTAACAATCTGTGTGCCATAAAATATTTTTTAAGTGTAAAAACGGTCCACAAATTCTATATTGATTATATGCTTTTGCCCCAGAATTCAAATATACGTAAATATTTGTATATAGAATAAAGACATACATACAAACATACATAGGTAGGTGTGTATATGTATAAGTATCTATAACATGTATATATATGTATAACATAAGTATATATAACGTGTATTTATAATACACACAAAACAATGTACTAGCTGTAAAAACATCCTTTAAATTTTGAAACACAGCTGTTGAGCAGAGATGCTATGAGTGTATGGTCAGAAAAAAAAAATTCTGACTTATAAGTCTGAAAGCTAAAACTTGCCACCTAGATGTGTCCTTAAGTGAATGTGTGACCCAGGGCAAGTTACTGGACCTTCTTGGGACTTGGCTTTTGTCATTTGTAACAGGAAAAGGTAGGATTAGATCAGTGATTCTCAGCCCTGATTTCGCTTTAGAAGCAGTTGGGGAACTTTAAAAAATGTAGATGCCCAAGCCCTATGGAGAGATTATAATGTAGTTTTTAAAGATTCTCCTGTGTGAGTCTAATGTGCAGTAGCCAAGGTTAAGAACTGCCAACTAGACAAACTCTAGACTCTTTCCAGGTCTGCGAGTCTCTTGCTTTACTTTTCTTTCCTAAGACAGTATGGGCTATGCCGACAGAACCCTGCAGACAGAGCTAGTCCTCTGGTTGGATTTGCTTGACACATGTGATTCTACAGAATGTTCTGAGTTGAAGAATGCTTAGGCAGCACACCTACCCCTTTCTGTGCTCACACGTGGCATCTCCCTGTCCACTTGAGCACAGAGCTTCGTGGCAGTCACAGTCCCCTACCCTTGAGGATGCCTGCATCTTCGTGCCAGGTAGCATTCTCAGCGATGGTCTGTGGCAGGGCATGAGTGCTCCCAGGTCATGTGTTTCCTGCCACGCAGCCTTGAACCGGTGGCCAATGGCCATAGTTTGCATTATTTTGTTACTTGCTATCACAATCTTTTTGTTGATCATCCTTTTCAAAATTTTTGGTCTCTAATTTCATTCTCTTGACCACCTGGTAACTTTAATCTCTCTGAGCCTTGAAATGACTCATAGATGTAGTAGTTACTTAAAAAAAGAAGAATTTTTTAAGCCTGTTAGGTTCTAATCCCTTCTGGACCTATGGAATGACCAGCAAATAGTTTATAAATATTATTAACTCACTAACATCTTAATAAAAAGAACAACAAATTCTAGATATATTATTAGATTTATCTCCTCAGAAGTATTTCTTCTAGTTCTCTACCCACTTCCACTGCCACCACCCCAGTTTAGGGCCATCTCCCTCACATCCATCACTTCTTCTTCTACAATAAAAATGGTAGTTGCCGTTCATGGTAGGCCCTGTAATAAGTACTTTCATTGATGTATTTAAACCTCGTAAAAGGAGACTTTAAAGACCAGGATGCTAAGACTCATAGGGCCGAACATCTGTTGAGTGTCAACCATAGGTCAAGCTCTTTACTAAATGCTACCTCTGCTTTATGCCATTCAGTCCTGAGAGTGACTATTTTACATTATACCAGGGACCAAGTCATGGATTTAGATGTTCCATACTTGCCCAAGGGTCAATAGTGGAGTTAAAACCTCAGCCATCTCAGCCACCACGTCATGCTGCTATTATTTTTTTAGAAGCGTTAGTACCACTGTCCTCATTTTGCAGATGGAATAACTGCGGCCCAGAGCTATTGAATAGTTTGCCTAAGACCACTAAGCTAATAAGAGGCAGAGGCAGGATTTGAACCTAGGTCTTACAGATTCCAAAGCCTGAGTCACAAGCACCACACTTAGTTGCCTCCTACTCTTTCCTTATCCACTTGCATCCCATCTGTAAATCAGGTCTCTCTCAAGCCCTTCCTGAACACTGGTTCTGTATTTCTTGCTATCCCTCTGCTCAGAAATGGTCTGTATCTATTTCCTAGGTCTGAAGTCTCTTATTTATTTATTTGGACTTTTAAGGCCCTCTGAGGTCTCCTTCTGACCCCCAATCATTATTCCTAGAGTGACCAGATCCCGTGCCTTGCTCAGTCAGCCCGTCTCCCTTCCTATCCCACCTGCGTGTAGACTTCTCCTGCCTCCAGGTGTCTTTCATCTTGTTCATCTCTTCAAATAGCTTTTCCTGGATACCTATCCTGTGCTGCCAAGGTCTGGAGGAAAGCCTGAAATTCTCCACCAGTCAAGCTGAATCTATTTTCTCTGCACTTCTCAGGGCTACCCTCTCTGGGCAACATCCCCTGCTCTCTCCCTCTCCCTTGCTGTGCCTCCCATCTAAACTCCCTCCAGGCATAGGTGCAGTGTGGTGCTCACTATGGACTCCTGTATGTCTCAAGTCGTAAGTGAACTCCATGAGGGCAAAGACCATGTAAAACAATCCTGAGCATATAGTAGTTGCTTAATAAATAGGCATCAGACGAGTTATTAATTTGTGATAATAGTTTTTTTCTCCTCAAATCAGATGGTTACGTTAATTCTGAGTCCAGAAACACAAATTCTTAAAATGTTGATTTATTTGATTTTTTTAAAGTATGTGTTATTGTGGTTATTTTAAAGGCTAGTAAAACTGATCTTCTAAACTATTGCTATTCTCCTAGTAAATGTCCCTTCAACGGTAATGGAAGCCATGTGCAGACAAGACGCCCTGCAGCCCTTCAACAAAAGCAGCAAACTCGCCCCTACCACCCAGCAGCGCTCCGTTGTTTTCCCCCAGACTCCGTGCAGCAGGAACTTCTCTCTTCTGGATAAGTCTGGGCCCATTGAATCAGGATTTAATCAAATCAACGTGAAAAACCAGCGAGTCCTTGCGAGCCCAACTTCCACAAGCCAGCTCCACTCGGAGTTCAGTGACTGGCATCTTTGGAAATGTGGGCAGTGCTTTAAGACTTTCACCCAGCGGATCCTCTTACAGATGCACGTGTGCACACAGAACCCCGACAGGTAACCCTGACTCTCACTGCTGACAGTGTGTTTGCTTAGTGAGACCCACTGCTTGCCTGCTCGCCAACTTCTGAGCACCTCCACAGGGGAAGCCTTGTGATAAGTGGTGTCTGCATTCTGGAAGGTCAGAGAGAAATGTGAGACCACTGCTTGACTTTCTTGCATATAAGGGCTGCACAGACAGGTTGGTGGCTGCAGAGAGGAATCTGCACTTGCTTTCCAAACAGTTCTGCCCAAGCCTAAAAGGGAGAGAAATAGAAGGAATGTTTATGAATATCATAGATGGAAAAATGAGGTCAGGATAATTAGAATCTTCTCTGTCTTCCAAAGATAATATAGTTGGCTGCTGTGCTGCTGTCATAGTCATTTCAGGGTTCACCTCCAGTGTGCCGTGGGTATGAACTTAATTAAGTACTAAGAGGTAATGAATTGGAATTTTTTGCTTAGTACTATTTTTCTTCAGAGCATGCAAACCCATAAATCCTGCAAAGCTGTCAAAAGGAAATACCTACTCTGCTAGTGATGTGGAGGAAAACAGATGCCACTTATTCAATAAACTAATATCCACACAGAAGAAAAATGTTGACTAGATACCTCAGAGTCAAAGTTGGTTTGAAAGTTTGTCAATAAAGAATTTTATGGCCATGAACTGAGGATGAAATTTAGCTGAACAAGTGAATTAAAATTTCAGGTACTCTGACGAGTGGCACAGTAGATATAATGGAACTATTATTTATGAATCAAAACCGGTTTATTTGACAGTTTTGATAGCTGGGAGCGCAAAAGACAAAAATCAAATTAATTCAGTAAGAAAGGATTGCTTGTGTTTTTATCTCTCCTTCATGTTCTATGAAAACTTGATTAAAACCCAGGTATCTAAGAATAGCATTCAAAATGCACTTTGAATATAAAAGCAGAAGATAATTTTTGAAGCTGGGGTAGGAGACTTGGAAGCAGGGCTCTTGGGTTATTTTCTTAATTTTCCCACTAATTTAAGCAAGCCACTTGGCTCTCCTCGCCTAATAATGTACACCCGGCTCTTCCCTCCTAGCTCTGTAGGATACACAGTGTGCCTAGAAAACCCAAGCAGAGTCAGGGAGGATGGAGGTTTGGGGAGAGGGAGTGGATATTTTGTAAAATAATACTAATCAGTTACAGGATACATATGCACATTACACATGCATAGATTTGTATTTGTGCTGTTGGAAAAACCACTTGCTTAGCATCAACATTGCTGTAGCTAATTAATGTTGAAACACTAATTAGGGTTGTTAAGGCAGCTATGTCTTCACAATCTTTATTTTCAATAGGCGATCCCCCTGGTGAGAATATCAACAGACTTCTGCATGTCTTAGTACTATTGGTGTAGAGGTGATACAAAAGTTTGAAACTGTTTTCCTCATTTAGAAAGGATTTCTTTTTTTAAAATTTGCCTTCCTTGCAAGTATACGTAGAACCTCAAGATATGTCTCTTCTAAGTTTGCAAAGCATTTTAGTAGTCTTTAAAATACAGAAGATGCATTAAAATCTGATTATAAGCTTGCTTTTTAAATAGAGTGAATTCAGATGGTTGGCTCTATTATTTGCAAAGTTTCATTATAGTCATAATAACTAATTATGCCAGGTAAAATAAAATAATAGTTGAAAATTTCTGGATAGTAGAACTTTCAAAGTTTAGCTTTGAGGATGAGATGAGATGAGTTTATGCTGAATGCCACATAAAGCAGTGAAACCATTTCATGGTAAGTAGATACTGAAACAGACTGTTTTGTCTGACCTCAGTTACACTTAGAAAATCATATGTGTGGGGCCAGGTGCGGTGGCTCATGGCCTGGAATCCCAGCACTTTGGTAGGCTGAGGCAGGCAGATCGTGAGGTCAGGAGATCCAGACCATCCTGGCTAACATGGTGAAACCCCGTTTCTATTAAAAACACAAAAAATTAGCCGAGTGTGGTGGTGGGCACCTGTAGTCCCAGCTACTCGGGACGCTGAGGCAGGAGAATGGCATGAATCCATGAGACGGAGCTTGCGGTGAGCCGAGATCGTGCCACTGCATGCCAGCCTGGGCAACAGAGCGAGACTCCATCTCAAAAAAAAAATATATATATATATATATGTGTGTGTGTGTGTGTGTGTGTGTATGTGTGTATATATGTGTGTGTGTGTGTGTGTGTGTATGTGTGTATATATATGTATGTATGTGTTTTGATGTCTGTCCTGTAAAATAATAGTCATAATTTGTAATATACTTATGTATATTATCAGAAAAAATACCTGAAAAACTAGAATGCTTACATATTCAAAATACATTTCAGTGGGAGATTGTTAGGTCTGTACTGATTCCAAGCTAATTTAGAGTTATTGGCAAAAATCTAGGCGGCATGAGACTCCTGTCTTATCATGGACCCTGATGGGCCTATTTGATTCAGATGTCCAAGTGTGGAATTGCCAGCCTCTCCAGATGAGGTGAAGTAATGGGCTTGTTATCTGGGAAGGTGCCAGAGTAGGATTAAATTACTGAAGCAGTGGGTTCCTTCCCTGCACTTTGTTGGTAAAGACTTGAGAGGTGTTCACCATCATTCTTCAGTAAGTTAAAATAAAAAATTACTTCAAAAGATCAGTTCCTTTATAAGCAAAATAATAAAGTACAATGTTTCTTAGTAATGATGAGGAGATGCTTGAATTACATCATCACATCTGTGTTGATTGTTGAAGATAAGGGGAAATAGAGGGAGATACCCAGTCACTTGGACCCCCTAGTTTCATTCTAGATACATAATTTGCTTTTATTATAAAGGGCTGGAATGGCTCATTTCTATTCTGGAACCCAGGATGCTCTCTGTTTGTACTAGAAAGTTTGGAGGTAAGAGATACTCTCCATAATTTCTTAACCACATGGGTGAATTGCTAAATGGAAAAATATACAGAACTATAATGGAACATCAAATTTGTTTCTGACAGTAGCTATGTTTGGAACCTGTTTATGGTTATTATCCATGTGGATTACAACTGCTGAATACAGGTTGAGTATTCCTTGTCCAAAATTCTTGGGGCCAGAAGAGTTTTTTGATTTTGGGTTGTTTTAGATTTGGGATGTTTGCATTATATTCACTGGGTTAGCATGCCAAATCTGAAAATATGAAATCTGAAATGCACCAATGAGCATTTCCTTTGAGCATCATGTTGCTGTTCATAAAATTTTGGATTTTGGAGCATTTTGGATTTTCAGATTTGGGATGCTCAACCCCATGCATATATTCTTTAGTGATTGATTCCATAGATCAGCTGGCCTTTAGTCTTTAGCCATATATGCCCATTCAGCCATTTACAGTGAAAAGGCTGAATAGTTAGAAAGCATTTCCTTTGTTCAAAAAACTCAAAAGCTTTTATTTTGATAGGAAAATCTTGCTAGAACCAGGTACAAGAAAGGCAAGAAAGGGGGACAGAGGAGACAAAATCAGAAGGTAAAACAAGTTAGAGTTTCAAACAAGTCCAAATTTGAAACAGGCCCTTGAATCTGAGGTCCAAATGATTTTATATTCAATGGACTGAATATTTGGCCATGAAACCCCAGATATTTGAACCTCCGTCCAAACAGACTTTGTGTCTATATTCATGAGCTTTTTCATGTGAGGTACCATCAACAGTCTATGCCTTGATAAAAAGGAAAGAAATCCACAGATGCTCAGGGATCCCAGCCTCACTTTTTTTTTTTTTTTTTTTTTTAACCGCTGCATTATTCACATTTAACACAGAAAAAAAAAGTCTGTCTGACCTGGCAAAGTAGAAATCAGCACTAAAGACAAAAAATACACCCATGAGGGTACAGGAGCCACGGAATTATTGTTTCTTGATTTTGTTCTGTTAAACAAGCAAAACCGAAAATCTTCCTCCTTTTTCCCAGGCTACTGACTTTTTCTTTTCCTGAATAAATTCTAAGAGAAGAAGCTGTTGGAATCTAAATCAACCAAAATTTTGTTCAGGGACTTTATAAACATTTGGGGTTTTGCATAAGCTTATTGCCTAGGCCAGAGTAGCTTTTCTTGCTTTTGCTTGTACCAGGAGTTAGAAATCCCTTTTCTCTTCTGTTTTTCTGCCGCAGAAACTCTCAACACTTCTATTGGGGTGGTATGTTGGTGGGGGGTATGCTCCAGAAAGGGGTAAGCAAAGCCTTCAATCACAGTGGATTGTTTTCTGACAAGTATGTTGTCTTTTATTTTCTGCACAAAGTGTCTTTATAATGCTTATTTTTATTTTGCATCCCTTTTCTTTTCCTTTCTCCTTTTTGACTGTTTGTGCCACATGGGGCAAGACTGCCTTCAGCCTCCTGGGCACACCGTCACCTATTCACATTTGTGTTTTAAGTATCATTGTTTGTAAGAGATATGGTGGGACCAGAGGCTAAAATGACATTAGAAGGGGCTCTCTGATAGGAGGGGCCTGGAGAAAATTCATCATCCTGGTTTCTTAGAATGTATCAGTGTTCTTGTGTCCCACTTCTTCCCTATCCACCAAGTGTGAAGGTTATCTTCTTCCTAGCTTTGATGTTCTTCAGGCTCTTTGGTCTTGCCCTTCTGTCACTGTCCTGAAATATTTTTCTCCTTACGTAGAACTAACTTCTTTTCTCACTCCACACAGCCAGCAGTGACCTAAGTAATCTCCCTTTGAAGTCTTGGGAGATTTGCACTTGGGCTGGCTGATGTTGAGCAAGGAGAGAATGTGGCCCCAACTGAACAAGTTTTGTCCTGGAGGCCATGAAAGAAAAATCAAAGCAGGATTAATATTTTTAAGCCAAACCATACTTAATTTTGTTAAATGTTTCATCCTTTTCCCATGTATACACCAAACCAATTACAGATTAAAAGCAAATTAATTGCACATTTTACCGGAGTTATCTTTGGCAAAGGAGCTGCCAGTGACCAGGAGTGCCAGGGGATGTACAAGATTGTCTCTCTTCCTTATTTCTGCTTAAACATTTACCAGCATTGATATATACCAACTAAATCTACCCAGGTGTTTTCTGTTCTTCAATTATTTCTTTCTTAAATAAGGAGCACTTTTCTGTTTTTTCATCAAGCTGGATATTTCTGTGTCAGAACTAGCCACACACAGCTATTTACATTTAAATTAATCCAAATTAAGTAAAATAGTACTTCAGTTTCTCAGGCACACTAGCCACACATGAAGTGTGCAGCAGTTGCATGTGGCTCGTGGCTCCAGTATTGGGTAGCTCAGCTACAGAACCGCTCCATCATTAGATAACACTACTAAAGATCTCAAATTGTAAAAAAAAAAAAAAAAAAAAGCCATAAATTACTTGTGATTGTGAGATACTATCCCTTTGTGAGGCATGCTCATTGCCTTTGCTTTGAGAAGAGTGAAGTGCTGTATGTCTGTGATAATTTGGAGAGAATAAAGTGCTTTAAAAAGGAGATTTTGGGGCTGGGTGCAGTGGCTCGCACCTGTAATCCCAGCACTTTGGGAGGCCAAGTCAGGAAGATCACTTGAGCCCAGGGGTTTGAGACCAGCCTGGGCAACCTGGTGAAACCCTGTCTCTACAAAAAATATAAAAATTAGCTGGGCATGGTGGCACATGCCTGTAGTCTCAGCTACTCAGGAGGCTGAGAGGTGGAAGGATCACTTGAGCACGGCAGTTTGAGGCTGCAGTGAGCCTAGATCATGCCATTGTACTCCAGCCCGGGCAACAGAGTGAGACCCTGTCTCAAAAAATTACCAATGCATTTAGATTTTCCATATTCCAATGAGCATGTACACACACACACAACCATAGAAAGCTCCATGTATAGGGAGCTGGCTTGTAGACGTGATGGAGAATAGAGATCATATTGGTGATGCTGTATTGTGGGAGGCAGTGTATTATACAGATTTCCTGGGTGATGCACATTTGTCAATTACCTGAAAGCGAGAAGAAGCATGGTGAGATGCAAGAGATCATCATCTTCAGTCCATTCCCCTTACCAGGTAGATGAGAAAACAAGTCAGGGAAGTTGAGTGGCTTGTCCAAATGCCACAGCTGATCACAGTCAGGGGCCCTATCTTTCCCATTCTAGCCCCTTCCATTCAGTCAAACTGAGTTCTGCAAAGTTTTAAAAACTGCCATAGGTCACTGCATCCCTAGCATATGCCTCTCAAGCCGGTGCCAGGCAAAGGTGATGTTTTAGAATCCGATTTGCCTTCCATTGGTGTTATTTTGATATAAGAATTCAACATAAGCCTCTCTGTGGTCGTTTCTGCTCTCCTGTGTGTAAATCTTTACCACCATGAACTATTAACATAAAAAGGATGGATTGACTTCTGACTGTGAGAAATAAATCACCCCAACTTTTGACAGCAGAGTTAGAAAAAAAAGAAAAGATTAATTGGTTTTATTTAGTGGCTTATTGTTTATTGCAGTAGCTATTAAAAATAGATAACCAGAGGCTAATAAATGTTAATAGTCCCTTCACTATTAGAAAAATCAATTGTCAGTGGATATAGCATATATTAATATATTATTTTGTTTATCATCTTCAATAACACTTAAGAAAATTCAACCCTGAGACAACTGTTTTTTCAGGAACCCTTTAAGGTTAATATTTACCACAAAGAACAGATTTGGCAGGAGGACATTTTCATCTATGTATAATTTTAATGGCTTTCAAAGGATTATTTTATAATTATAATAAAATGCATGTGTAATTTGGAAAGATTGATAAACTCCTTAACAAAGACTTTTTATATATTTCTTTGAAACTTATTTGAGAGCAGTTAGATAGATTTCTAAATGTAAGTAATTAAAATTGTATAGTATTGAGTTATTGACCAATCCTGGGCTATTAATCAAGCTAAAAAATTCTACAATCAGGGCTCAGTGTGCTGAAGCCTGGTAAAATAATAGTATTTGTGTTCAGTGAGGCAAGTAGCCACAATTAAGCAGTTCACTTGACAAATGAGAGGGTACACTTTATTTTGCACTTAATTGAATTGTTGTACATGCTCGGTCACCATTGTCTCCTAGCCCTTCATTTTGGTTTCTGGTCATTGGAGCTTATGCATTTGTTAAAGGTAGAGCAATTAGGTCTGCTTTCACCATTGGTTTCTAAATGCAGCCAGAAATGTCTGGCTCACAAGCCAGGGCTTAGTGAATGCTGTTAATATCCCTCACGACAGATTATGAATTATCTGAACAAAAATTTTGATAAACAAATTAGAACCCTGTCAAGGAATGATATGAAATAGCTTCAAATAGGGAAAACTCCCCGGGTTTTATATCACTCACCAGATTCTGCTTAAGTAAGCAGAAGAACTTCTGTAGAGAAGACAGAATTTTAATCTATTTTATGAAAACCAAAAATTGATTTACTTCTCATGAACTGGGAAGAATATGCTCTGATAATCTTGCTAATTATCAGGTATTTGTCACCACTTCCTTCCATTTGCTTTTGCATCAGAGTCATCCTTCTGCAAGCATAGTGACATCCCATCATTTCTGTGCTGCTATAAATCATGCCTTGCTGCCAGATTCAAATGGGGAGGTGATGTTCAAGAGAAAGATCTGGTGGATAAGTATTTGGAGGAGGGAATAGTAGGTAGAAGTCAGGATATCTTTGACAAAGAGACACATCTGGGTGTACATCTGTGTTCATCTGTGTAATACAGTGATTATGCTATAAGTCCACCATAGTTTAATATCTATTAAAACATGCATGTAACTTGCTGACTTGCCTGTGTGTTTACCTGGTACTTAGGATAAGGTCCAAACATCCTAGCAAATGGCCTTAGTATCAAGAGCTTGTGTCCAGGGAGGACAGTTTATCCTCAGTTTTCTGAACTGACAGAGATAATAGCAACTGCTTTCTCTGTCCCAGGGGATTATTGTGAAGATTAAATTGGATAACTGATTTTAAAGCACTTTGAAAAGATAAAAGTGCCATGGAAGCATAAGAGGCAATTATATATTTTCTCTTGTAACCGTCTGCTTAATGAAGTCTGTACTTTCACTGCTTACAAAAGTACCCTAACATTTGCCTGGAGGAAGATAAAAATAAGAACTTACGGGTTTCCAAAGTGGTATAATTAGTACTGGAAAGCGATATTCATTTGGGAATTGATGTGTCTCAGCAGCTCTGTGAATTTTGTTCCTGTGGCAACAAGTAAAGTAGTGGGAATCCAGTGGCCAAAACTCTATGCCCTGTCTTAGAAACTGAGAAGATGTCACCAAAAAGTTTTGGTCCCTTGTCATATGATTCTGACTTCCACTGACCAATGCAGAAAATAATGACCAGGCAGTCTGTTTATTTGTTTCAGACCCTACCAATGCGGCCACTGCTCCCAGTCCTTTTCCCAACCTTCAGAACTGAGGAACCACGTGGTCACTCACTCTAGTGACCGGCCTTTCAAGTGCGGCTACTGTGGTCGTGCCTTTGCCGGGGCCACCACCCTCAACAACCACATCCGAACCCACACTGGAGAAAAGCCCTTCAAGTAAGTAGTGGCTAACCCTCCACCCTCTCTTTCTCTTAGCCTTTCCCAAGAGCCAGCAGATGCATCAGCACAGTGCTGCCCAGCTTAGCCAGCTGGCAAAGGCTACTTGGAAGGCCAGTGTCCAGGCTGCAAACGAATCTGCTTGTTTAGTGGCTGACATTTGAAAAATGAAGTCAGGAAACCTACGCACTGGTCCTGGCTCAAGTTTCCAACCTTGGTCATGAGACGAATCTTCTGGGTCTGTTTTCTCCTCATTAAAATGAGGAGGTAGGAGTAAATAATTTTAATATATTTTTTTTCAGTCCCTGATGATCTGTGCTTCTGGAATTTTATGTAGGAGCTGCACAGAGCTCCTGTGACCATCAGCAAGCCTTATGATCATCAGAAAGGTTACCACAAATTTAGATCATCAGAATAATCCCCTCTTGGAGAACTTGAACCCTTCAGGATTCTGATGAAATATATCCTCCTCTTCCCTATGTGTTAAAGAGTTTGAACCTATTATAGCAGCCAACTTGTGACTTTTCAGTGAATACTTTGGACTTTGGAATTACCATGTTGGTGAAAAAAGAAAAACAAAACCAAACCCAGAGTACATTGACTTTTTGAGGATTCAGGGAATGTGGAAAGAGATGGAGTTGAATTCTAAGGGCTTTGGCAAGGTAATGGCATCTGAGCAAGAGAATGTGTTTCTACACATGGCACACTCATCCAAATGGTGGACATCTGAATCATGCAAGATGGTCTGTTCCTTCACTTGTTCACTCATTCATTCGTTTACTCGTTCAGTTATATATGTGTTCATTCATTCAGCAAGTATTTACCAAGTATGTACTTTCGTGCTAGGCACCCTGCTAGGTACAGGAGATACAAAGATGAATGAGATTTAGCTGTTCCTCCTTTTCTCCGTCTTTGAAAACTTCATAGTCTAAGGGGCAGCCCAATTAGTAAATGTATTATAGGGTGAAAAGTACAACAGTACAAAAGTAAGACATGTATGTATGATGTTTCACAGTAGCACAGAAATGGAGTCATCAATGCTATCTGGCGGAGATGATGTTTCAGATATGTTTTGAAGGATGAGTAGGAGCTTTCTAGACATACGGGGCATGGGGGAAGGTATTTCTGGCAATCCAAACAGCAGGTGGAAAGGCCTGAGAGTGTGATCCAGCATGCGTGGTTGATTGGTGTTCTCAGAGCAGTTTTTAATGGTCTGTGTAATGAACTCTTTTCAGTTCAACCCTCTTACAGCTCTCTTCACTCATTTGCTATACTGGCTTTTTCTGTTTGAGAAGGAGAATTAAAAGAGCATAGAGTTACCCCCTTATGTACCTTCTGTGGGACAAGATCAAACAAGAAAGGAAATGATTCAGGCAGTAGGAGACTAATCCCCTTGCCCAGTCTCAGCCAAGAAGTCTTCGCGGAGCCTCATTACCCAGGATTTTCCATCCAGACCTGCTGTCGTGGCACACTTTGTGCTCAGCCTGAGGCCAGGCTCGGCTCGGGAAACAGAGTCCTGTGGTCTGGGTCCTGCCTTCCTCTCTGTCTGCCAGTGAAGGGGGAAGCTCATAAAAGATGGTGATTGTCCCTCTTCTCCTCAATAATTAGTTACTTTATTCAGCATTCTTAACTATTCTCCAACATAGTTTAATTTATGGTATTAATAATGAAAATAGTGATAATTTTTGTTGCAGTACATAGGTGCAGCTTGTTCACTGCATAAGAGCATCTGGCTAAGGGGGCAGGATGGGGCCTAAAATCCAGTCTGCACTATGCCAACCATGCTCTGCCCCCTGAGGCTGCAGTAGCCCAAAGAGGGCATCTTTTTCTAATTTACCCTAAGGAGCTGCATGGGCTACCACAGTCCTAGGAGTTCCCTCTCACCAGTGCTGTATACTACCTAGTGGACTTTGTCATTGCTCTCAGGCCTGAGCCCCATAGGGTTCCTAGATTGTGGCTTCACCACTGCTCTGGAGGAGGGTGTTGACAATGAGTGGCATGTTGCCTATGCCTTTGAGCAAGAGAGCTTTTCGAAAGCAGAGATACGGGAGGGTTCAGGATCCTTCTGGCCCCTTATATTAGAAAGGGCAGCCAGACAAATACAGTGCCAGGAATCAGATTGATTCTTATCTTGTTGCTGTGTAAATAGATTTTAGTAATTAATTGAAGAGGTTTCAGGGTCAAAATGGGAAATAGATTTCTATTAATGTTAAGGTGTTACTTATGTGTAACCTTGTTGACTCCACTCAGTTTTTTTCCCTTAACATCTGTTTTTGTCATGTTTCCAATAGAATTACTCTTTTAACTTAATTTTAATTCATCAGATTAATATTTGAAGGGTTTTGATGATTGTAATTTTCCTTTTCCAAAAGTATTTTTTGTAATCATACCTACTTTCATCTGGAAAAAAAAGGAAACAACCAAGGCTGTTGGCTTAAATTCTGTGTATATGTTTTAGTTCTTTCTGTTCCTACTCTTATCTAGACAGCCACATGCTGTAGTTTTTTTTTTAATTTATCAAATAGATATTCCCAGGGGAGAGCTGAGTGTATGCTTATTTTGAAAGTGCAAGATTTAAACATCTTCTAGGAAATGGAAAGTTAAATCCTTTAGTGTATACAACCAGGTCTTTCAGAATTGATCTATCCCAAGGGAATTTTGGGAATCTTCCAACCATAGCTCATGGATATTCATCCCATGGACATTTGTAAATATTATGAAGATATCCTTTTACAAGCTTATAAAACAAACATTTTTAAAAATCTTTTTTTTTGCAAATTAGTCAATAAAATGGGTTTCTCTACAACAGTTAATTTTACTACTTCAACTAATGGGTATTGGCTTAAACAATGTTACGAAGAAGGAGAAGAATCTTGTAAAGGCACACAGCCCTCAATTGTATGTCTTGGGGAGCTTCCAAATAGATGCCCCAGATGGCTCAGTCCCCAAATTGTCCCACCCACCCAGGGCTCAGGAGGCCTTTACAGAATTCTCAGGGTTAAGCTGAGATTGAGCCTGCCATGTCAGAGAAAGCCCTTTCCAACTTCTAAAATCTTCTGCTGAGAAGTGGTTTTTGAAGGCATATCAAGATTACTGCCATCCAAAAAAGGCTGCAGAAGATTTGGCATGAAGATGTCAGAGTTTCATTCCAGGCTTTGCCTCATATCTGATTGACTGAAATTCCACTGAAAGATTCCATCTCCCAGGTTCTAGGTAGGTGATGGGCCTGCCAGCAGCTACCCCAGGCTGTAGACTTAGGATTTCTAAGATAAAGGAGCATGTACGAAAAATAAAAATCAGAAGATCACATTGAAGGTCTTGGCTTTCAATCTGCTCTGTGATACTGGAAGTCGTGGAAAACAAGGAGCAAAACCAAGATATCATTTAACAGCAATTGCCAAGCATTTTACTGCAGGTAGGCAGGAAGGAAGGAAATAAGGAAGTTAGTTGGCAGTCTAAAAATTAGTCTTTGCAGCAAGGACTCCGTCCTTCTTCTTACTCAACAGAGTGTCTTGATATTTCAGTGGGCTGCTCTGCTCTGCCTGAGAGGAGCTGTGTGAGCTGCCTGAAGCTTGGCTTTCTGAACCTGAGAAACTGAGAACAGGCCAGAATTTTCCTTAGGAGGGGTTCTTCATTATTGTTAGAAGCAGGGAGAATCATTCATCGCTATGTTCTTGCGTCAAGAAAATGGAGTTTGGCTCAGTATGAAAAAAATCAAAGGAAATTCCAAAGGACATCTAATATTTGAACAAGATCTAGGCAAAATTAAAGCAAATCCAAGAAGCAAATCAGTAAATATGCATCGAACATGCCATACATGCAAAGCCCTGCGCAATTTGGTTCAATTCAAAAAGTATTTTGTGGCATATCATAGAGGCACAGAAAGCTTGTTGCAGATTTTCTGTGGTAACAGAACTTTACATCGCTTTGTTAAGCTCCTTGTACATGTAATCCAGTCAACCATCATAGCAAGTAAAGAATGATTTCAAACTTTAAAGGTAATTAAGTCTAATTAAGATGCCCACAATGTTATAATAGAAAGAAACTCCTCACAATGAGGAATTTCTTTTTGCTGAAGTACTTGGTAGACTTTCCACTTCATTGTTCCTGAGTTACTTCCGTCAAGGCTGTGGCATCAGCACCTATGCTAAGGCAAGGCACAATGAAGGCCCTGAGTGCAAGGGCGCTTCTCCCTCCTGACGCATTACCTGCATCTTTTCTTCCTTCTCATTCTGTTACACTGCACGAAGTCCAGGCTTAGAGATGCCCCTGCCAGTCAGTCATCAGGGATTGTAATTCAGGGTTAGTTTAGATGCCAACCGGGTGAAGTCTAGCTCTGACTTCTGTTGAGTCAGTTCTGTTGAGATGAGTTTCATTAAACTATGAAAATATTTTGTGGAAGAGATTTCTCTAAAATGTAAGATAATGAACATAAAACTGAAGTCCTTCTCTTATTTTAAAAAAGTATTTTTATAGCTAGCTCTGACTTCCTCAAATACATAAATTGTGTTCTTGTCATTCCCAAACAACATAGATATTATTTCTAGTGGCCTTCTTTCCTCAAGAAGGAGAAATCCCTGAGAAAAGGATCTAAATTAAGGTAATTTCTACACATCTGCTTGTATTTTTACTCACACTTGGTGTGCAGATGGCTCTAGAAATGACTTTTCTGGAATACTTTTCTTATGTACCCTATATATTGGGCAAAGTTTCTGACTATCACAACTAATTGTTCTGTGTGTAAATATCTGCAGTGCATTTAGGCAAACACTTGAGAAAAATGTGTTTTTCTCTTAATGTCTCCATCCAATCTGGATGTTAAAATATTACATCATATATAGACATATAGTATGTCTAAAATAAAATATAGACATACACTTCTGCTTTATATGAAACACTAAACTGCCAACTCATGTGTTCCTCATATTTTAATACATAGGATTAGAAATGCAAAACCATGACCCAGGTACATTTTCATTCCTCATAATTGTTCAAGCTATTCTACTCTCTTTGAAATTTATTCTAGAGCTTCAAGATAAAAAAAAAGGAATATAATAATTTGAAAGTTTGTCAAGCAGTGAAAGGTAGTATATTTTGACACACTAATCCAGTAACTAATCAGTTTTCTAATAAACAATCAGCAGTTCGCTAACGTGTCATCAGCGCTCCAGGAGCTCTGGAGAGGGGATGAGCTGCCCACGGACGTTAATGAATACACCAAAAATCATTAGGTGATCAATACTTCTGAGTTATTTTCATTGAGCTGATAGGTCTGATACATTAAAGCTGACATTATACATTTGTCAAGATCACAGTGCAGTTTTTAACAGTGGAAAAGGCTGCTAAAAATATTCCCCGAAAGACAATCAAAGAAACACAACTTCTTCCCCCTGACACACTCCGCTGGTGCAGGAGCCCTGAAAAATCCAATTGCGAAGTCAAGCTCCTGCCTCCCCATGTTCAAAAACATGCAAGAATTCCCAGAGTGGATGGATGTGTCCTATTTTATAGGTACTTATTTTCATGACAGGGCTCTTAATATAATTTACTAAAGAGGAGAAAGAGAGGAATGCCTAACAGATAACAGGGCTTGTGGCTTTCTTGTCTGTGATAAGGCATGGAGACTATGTCATGGTGGCTTTCGCTGCAGCTTACATAGTGCAGGGGCTCACAAACTGGGGGTTGCCTTATTTAAAAGTGGGACAATTGTCTGTAGCTCTTCTTGAATATCTTTTTCTTCAGAGGTTTCAGGAAAGGGCATTGGGGTGGCTGAGGTGGCCTCTGAGCTGTATTAGATGCTGGGCCAGTGCTCTAGGCAGCCCAGGTAAGTAAGGTGGTGATGGAGAAGTCACTATTGGTGCCCAGCCAGCTGCCACAGTTCATCTGTGGGTGTGTGTATTTACACACACAATCACAGACAATCAGCCAGGGACAACACACACAGAAAAACAACAGGCTCCCACTAAATTTTGAGTGTGTGTTCTGCTTTTTGTAGATTGAGTAGCCACCAAGCTAATAAGTGAAGTTTGTTTGGAAGATATGGACATGGGAGATAGGGAGGAACTCAAGGTCTCTAGATTACAGTCTTTTTTGTTTGTTTGTTTCTCCTTTAAGTTAAAAAGAAGAGATAAATCTTGAAGTATGATGTTTTCTCCTCATCAGACACACTGCCCTTAATTCTAGCCCATATGTACATCCTTTCCACTGGGCCACTGCAAATTCTAGTTTTATAAATTATTTTAACCCTAAGTTTGGTTGGACCATGACACTGTAACCAGCTCTTGCAAAAAAGCAGCGACCATGCCTACTGCCCCTCATGGTCACTGCAATCTAACGCATTGCTTCCTCTAGTTTCCAAATTCCAAGATGTGCACTCTTTGGCTACTGTTCTGAAGCGAGTAGAATTCCCTATTGTAAATTAGCAGTAGGTGAAATTCTATTTGTCATCAATTTCTCTTTGGGGTTACAGAGCAGAAAACTGCAGACAAGCTGCTTCTTTGATGGCTCACTCCTAAAAATCTCTTTTTGTTCTTTATCTATTTGAACTGACAGTGATCAGAGCTGCAGCAGGACAGGGCTCTCTGGAGAAATCACCTTCCCCCTGCCTATTGACAGATCCCTCTGTTCTGCATCAGACGGGCTTTGTCCCATCACAGGCATCCAGGCCTTGGAAGGAGCCACCAATTAAACCTCTTGAGCCGGTAAAATCTGAAGCCACTTTGGAGTGTCTGTTCTGATTAGGCAGGATGAGAGGAAGCCCATCACCCTGCAGGCCCCGCTCCCTGGTCTCAATTTTCTCTCTTGCCTCCACCAGGTGCGAGAGGTGTGAGAGGAGCTTCACGCAGGCCACCCAGCTGAGCCGACACCAACGGATGCCCAATGAGTGCAAGCCAATAACCGAGAGCCCAGAATCAATCGAAGTGGATTAACTGATTGACTGGTTGGAATTAAACTGCAAGGAAAGTCATGATTAAATGTCACGGACACTTAAGCAAAACCAAAGATTTCCTCTGAGCAACTTTCAATCAGTCCCAGAAAACCAAAAGCAGTAATAAAATAAGTAAGATGTTAAGAGATATTGATCCTGGCATGGAAGTCAGACCAGGAAAGAGATTATTTATTTATGACTAGGGATGAGACTTATTTCAGTGGACAACTAACCTGGGATGGTTAACATTTCCAGTCCCACCACGTATTTTGCTTTGTTTCTAAAAAGCTTTTTAAAAACTGTTATTTAATACCAAAGGGAGGAATTGTATGGGTTCTTCTGCCCACTATTGTGACTAAGAATGCACAGGGACTTCGTTCTCGTTGCACCTTTTCTTAGTAGCATGTTTCATGAGGACCCACTGTACAGCCCTTCATTCTGCTGTGTCGGTTGGCCTGGCCTGACGCTGGCTGCCCCAGCAGGGACCACGGAAGCAAAGTGAGAGCCTTCGCTGAGTCAATGCTACCTTCAGCCCCAGACGCATCCTATTTCTGTGTCTTCCATGCTCACTTCTCATGCACTTTTTACACGGTTTCTTCCAAACCGCCTGGTCTTGATGCAGGAGTCTCGAAAAGGAAGAAAATGGTTTCAGTTTCAAAATTCAAAGGAAAAAGTTGAGGACTTATTTTGTCCTGTCAAGATTGCAAGAACGTGTAAAGTGTACGGAGCTTCATAATACGTTATATTGTTCTGAAGCAGCTCGTTGAGAAACATTTGTTTTCAATAACATTTTAGCTTAAAAAAAAGAAAATGAAAATAAAGTTCTTTGGGCTAAGGCTGGAGACAAGGTGTTAGGCTTCATGTAATTTTTTTTAGTTGTTTCTTGAGAATGTTGAACATGTAAAAAAAAATAGTGCCAAACTCCATCATCAAGGCCCTTTTAGCAGTTTTATCCTTCTTCCACATACAGATGAACCCCAGGAGCCCCCTTTCCTCTCTCCTGAGTGTAGGAGGAGCATGTCTGCAAATGCAAGTGAAAATAGCCCAGACAAGGAGACTTTGAGAGGAGGAAACATGGAGAAGGTTGTGGTTAGAACAGATAGCCCAGGAGCAGCTAATTTTATCAATAGAATTACTTTTTCTTTTCTCAAGATTGATTAATTGAAAGAGAAGGAATTCTCTACACTTCACTATTCTTTGAGTGAATTTCAGCTAACCTATTGGTGGTTCAACAGTGGTGTTCAATGAAATTGGGTCACATTTATTGAAATGATCTAGTGTTGGGAAGAACTGATAGCTCTCAGCAGCATCTCAGAGACTGTCTACCTCGATGGCCAGTTTAGATAAAAATTGTTCAATTTTATCTAGCGTGTTTAATAACAATTTCTGTTTGTAAATTTCATCATTACCTGATATCAGGACATAGTCTTTTAAGGAACTCCTTGTCTTTGAGCTTTCCCATTGTCTTCCCTCTATAAAAATGAGACACATAACTGAACTCACTACTAAAAGGCAAGGATACTGCATGGTTTAGTTTAATCTATTATTATGTATCTGGCTCTCAGAAACTCTCCCTTCCCTTTTAATTTTGCTTCTCTATTCCTTAGTACTCCAGCTACCACATTTTAAATGGAATTCAACAGGGTCTAGTTAGTAAGTGTTTGTATTTATTATTTATGTTTGTATATATACATATAGACACATAATAATAATCTCTAGAGCCCTGGGTCGCAAAGAGAAATATGGCTAATTCTGACCTCTGTCGCCCATTCTCAAGCCGTTCACCGATAATTTTCCTCCAGTTCTTATTGTCTTCTGGTCGTGAAAGTAGTAAGGAATCTATACTGCTGTATAACAGTAGCTGATTGAAACTATTCTCTCTGGTAGTTAGGAATGTGTTCTGATTTTACAATTCCCTACCCTAAGTGATGGAGACGTTTGCAGACAATGTGTGTCATTGGGAAAGGTGAATGAAATGTAGCCATATTAACCTGAAACCTGCAAGAAAAGGACAGATCAGCTTCACAGATGTGTAAGCTGTTTCATTTGTTAAAGTTGAAAGATTTACTCAAACTCTTTAAAAACAGTAGGAAATCACCTGTATGTTTCTAATATTTTTTTTTTCCGTGTGAAAAATCAGCTCAGCCATTTGCCACATTTCACAGTGGAACACCATGTATCCACTCAGTTCTCATGAGCTTCAGAACGTGGGAGAATGAAAAGGCTTCCCTCCTCCCTTGGTATCTGGCATGGGAAGGTTTTCCATAACCATGATCTCTCTGCCACCCTGATGGCTTTGCTGGCTGATCCCAAACTTCCACTGAATGTGGCAGTTACCTCTACTCCAAAACACTCTTCTAGTGTTCTGCTCCATTTAAATCTATTTTTATCCTCTATTATTAAGAGAAATTATTGGCATACATATTCCACCAAATTTGGTCAGAAATATTTTCTGCTTAACAAATAGAAAATTGGATACTCTAATTTTCCAGGCATGTGGGCACATTCACAATTTTTACATTGCTGTCCCATTGCCAGCTTCTAGCAGACCAGCCTAAGCTGTCTGTCCGCAAAGACAGGCTTACACCTGGACATTGACTTGGAACCCTGAAGCAGGTACTCAGATCATTTGGGTCCAAGATGATTTTAGTCAAAGTGTATGCTGGGGAGGAGGTTTCTCTCTGAAACTTCCTAACAATTGCTTTAGCCTTTTCTATTTAAAGTGGACACACAATCCCCTGGGATACAGCAAGTGGGTGGTAGAAATTGCAGTCATAAAGATTTGCCACTTTTTCTTATTAGTAACTTCCTAATTAGTAGTGCTCTAAAGAGAGTAAACACTCTGAATCACTGGGGAAAGGATATTTAAGATGAGAAAGGTAGTCTCTCAGAGCCAAATCAGGGTTTGGCTCTTGGAGCAATCCTTCTTTACTCTTTTCTGTCCGAATAATAATAATAATTTTTTCAGAATAAGACTTTTCATCCTAGCGTATGCTCATTTATTTAGCAAAGAGTCTAAGACAAAAGATAATGCCAGGTAAATAGGATGAGAGGTGGAGCTGCAGATCTTTGCATTTCTAGAAAAATCTCAATATCCCAAGGCAAAGTTGTATTTTCCCCAGCGTATGTGCATAAATTTTTCATAAGTAAGCTTTTCATTTTTGTTTTGTTTTTATCTTTAGAAATGACTTTTTTGGAGGAGATATACTTCTAAAAAGTTACTGTGTGTCTAATTAAAGCTGTAAAACTTAATCTTGTATAATTTATATAATTTGATTCAGTTGGTACACTTTTTTATTGTGTTCATTTAAATGTAGCCTTCTTGGGAAACTGTGTATAACAGAAAAAGATCATGACATCATTGTGTCCTCATAGGGCTCATAATTGAATTGTACCTTGTAAAAACTTCATTCTGGTCCAGGTATTCAAAGATTTATACAAACATTTAGCAATTCATCAGTTTTTAAATCAAATGTTCATTGTTTCATTCATTTATTCAACAAGTATTTATTGAACTCTTATTTTATATAAACACCCCATTTTATGTGTTCATAAGCAGCATTATTTAAGTGACTATTCATGATAAAATAATATTCTCCTTCTAAGTGGCTGCTGGTAACATGGGTATTTTAGTCCTTTAGACCACTGTCTCAGTGAGGTTAAAGATTTTGTTCCAACTGGGAAAATCTGAGAGAGGTAAATTCATCTGGGGACAAGAAAATAGCACATTGCAAAACAAGTTAAGATGCACAACTTGGTTGTCTTTCTGTAACTCACTGGGCTATTGGTTGTTAGCAGAAGTATCAAGAGACCAGGATTAGGGCCTGGGTCTTGGGTTTTTATGAACCCCTTTCAATGATAAGGCAACAAGTGGGGTACAGGGCTGGAGTTGCTCAGGGAAGGAGATCTGCGACCCTGAATGGGTCGGAGGTGCCTCATTAGTGATAAGCGTTGGCAGTGTAATCCCTTTCCCCAGTGTGCAGAAGTAACATTATTTGTTTTGCACTAATTTAAAATATAAAATGCAAGTATCTATTGAGTTGTTTAAAATGGGAAACATGACACATCTCACAAAGAGGGCATTTCCAGAACATCAGGGTTAATGGGCCACTCTGAGTGTACCCAGCAGCCTGTGTTTAGGAGCAAATTCATTGTTCTCATATTAAGACTATGCATGCATACAGAAACCAGGCCAGGAATAAGAAATAAAGTAAATAATCACATTTCCTGAACTGTTTATCTTTTTCTTCCTTGACATGAATTTAATTTTTATTTCCCAGAGCCTTTACCAGATCCTGACATCAGATTTTAAAAGATACTGAGATATATGCTTCTTTAAATGATAACTGTAAGTTACAGAAATGTCATTTGCTTGTCACGATCCTTTTAAGGTAAAGAGTTTGGAAAATTTTATGTGGTGACTAGATACCTGGGTGATTATCAACCCAAAGTTTAAGGTTCTCCCCTCACTAGCATTTATCTGAACTACCACAAAACAACAACGCAGGGTCCTAGGAAGGCACCTATTTCAGCCCTCTTCTAGATTACATTCTGTAAACCCAAAGATCAGCTGTCAGGTACAACTGGCTGGACGGAGCCAAACTGAAAAGAATATTGCTTTATCTGTGGAAGCCTTGCCACAGATGTTTAACCTGTAGTCCCTGGCTGTGTTTGACATTTAAAGTATTTATTTAGTTTCTTCCTTTAAATAATAAATGCCAGATGTTTCATCCGATCAATATGTAAAACAATAACAAAAAATATGTCAGAAAACAGGGCATAGTCATGAAACATTTGAGTTGTCTTTCCTATAGACTGAATATGCTACCACTGCACTTAGAAAGAGTCTATGGAGGAAATTTTAATGGAAAAATAAGGACATTCTGAGCTTGTTCCCACAGATGTTGATGGGAATGATGATAATGATTATAACTCATATTGTGCAATTACTGTCATGCCTTGTTCTAATGCTTAATGTGGATTATCTCTTTTAATCCTTAG